GCGCGGCGGATGAACTTATTTTGTACTATTTGTACAAGCGAGTATTTGGGCGAAGGTCATGCTGCGTACATAATAGGTCGCACGCAGGTTTATATAATAATAATTTGTGCCTTAAGGGCATTTTAGCGTAGTTAAATTGTGTACCGGCCGGAGACGAACGCGGCTCTATTGCGAACGTTATTAAAGTGCGTAGTAAATGACATAGGCGTGTCGAAAGTGACTCCTAAGTATTTGACCTTTTTCTCCCAGGGGAGCGGTTGGCCATAGAGGGATATTTGGCCCAGGGGAGCGGTTGGAGAGACATTTGCGTATAGTCATCGTCATCTCACGACCCTGAGCTGATGAAGGAAGGCTCAACATTTTAACGGCTAGAATTAGCAAATATAGTTAAGATGTTGTCAAATCGATGCGTATTTTTAACCGACTTCAATAATCGTCATATTCGGCATATTTTTAAGCAAATATACATCTTAACACTCCCGTAGCTATACACACACGAGAACATTATGTATGTACGATATAACATACACCTTTTTACAAATAAAACTTAACAGATCGCGTCGGGGCCGAAACGCTGGAAATACCGAGGCTTAGACAACCTAAAACCAGGATTATTATACACTTAATTGTTTGTGATAGGTGACATTCACAAACAATTAAGTGTAAATAATTTCAAACATTTTGTAAAAGCTACAATAACGGAAAGGGACAAAGATGTGTGGAAATGACTCTTGCTCTGCAATTCCAAGTCCCCTGGCTACTGCTAATTTTATACTTAAATAATTTTGTGTATATACTTAAATAATTCAAAGAAAAAAAAATATATGTGACCGCAGAGTTTCTTGCCGGTTCTTCTATGGCAGGTCTGGTTTAGTGAACCGGTGGTAGTTTGACGTTTAATAAGAGCTTAAAATAAGCCTATGTTGAATAAAGAAATTTTGACTTGACTTAAAAAAAATAGTCTAAGGACTGAAAGCTTAACAAAATAGCGTTTTTTTGATGTCGGTTCTTTTTGTTAAAAACATTTTTTATCTTTATTAAAGACACAAGTACTTAAAAATTTATATTAATTCTAAATTTTAAGAGCAAAGTTCGCATTTGTTCGTTACAATTAATTTTCATCATTAAAAGTTCTTTGAAAGGTTTTTCGTAGTGTCAAGGATGCACTCTAGATGGCGCGAAGGTTTGTTTTAAAGAATGAGATAAATGTCGAAATTTTCGCGGGGACAGTCATCTCCCACTAAGCTAAATTGGCAAAGCGTCTAGGCACGTTACCCAGATAACATTCGCAGATTTGAATAAAACTTTATTTACAAATGCAAACAAAATCAGATGGTTTTAGCATTTAAAGGTTTTATCTCCATTAATTGCTTTGTAAGACGATCGAAGTTCAACTCTCTTCTAGGAAACTTAAAGCAAAAAGACAAAAATTGGTCTAGTTCAGTGAAACATTTACCGTTAATTTTCGTAATGATACAAACAGAGCTTTTCAGGCTTAATGCTTTCGAAAATCAACGCACGCTTTTTTTTTTTTTTTTCATTTAATGAACACCGCAGTAATGTCGTTAGTAAATGCTAGGAATATTCGTTCCGAGATTATGTCGTTAGAACATAGAAAATAAAAAAGGCTATTCATACACGTATACGCAAATTACCAAGTAAGAGACTTATGTCGACCTCAAGTACTAGCACGCCACTGAGAAAGCTATTGCATTTAAAAATGCAGTTAAAAATCGGATGTTTTATTAAACTTTATACTTTGTTTTTAGTGTGTTTGTTAAATAATAAAAAATAAACGATTTTAATATGTATTTAAAAAGCGTTTTATTAAAATATACGTCATTACGTATTAGAAAAAAAATAAAATGGAACAATTTATAGAACATAACAATCATTTTTATATTTTTAAGCTTTCAAATCGCTGCTTTCGATGGGTGCATAATTACAAGTAAAATATTTTTTTGACCTCCTTTTTCAGCGATTACTCAACACTTCAAAATTGAATCGTCTCAGCGCGAGTGATCGACTTATAGCGTCCGCTTTCTATTAAATTTAATTCAAGCGCACAACCCCCACTGCACTCAAATGCTAAAAAGAAATGGAGGAGGGGGGTTGTGAAACTTATTTATTTACTAAAATCAGCCGACCCGATACAGCCCGCTCTTTGTCTGCCTCTGCTAGCTTTTGATTGGACAAGTCGCTTGTTTATTTTTCTTTAATTTCCTCTGAATTAATTGTTGAGTGAAGTCGATTGTTTAGAACTGCAGTCTTTTGCATAGCTCGCAATTATTTCGGACGGTTCATTGTCACTGTACAACACCACGTGTCAGTTTGCAATAAGCCAATTTTAACCTTACGTGGAAGATTGTGGTCGTGGCTTTAAAATATCAGCTATCCAGGAATAAGTCGGCAGGAGTAACTCCTCCTGACATTGACCGTTTCAAATATTATCTATGTTATAGTTAAAGGGCGATATATGTCTCAAAAAGGTCGAATCTCTTCCAGGATACTGGATTTGACCAACGCCTTCAGCCAAACCCCAAAATAAATTCCAATTTAGGCCTCTGACTGGAGTATTTTAGTCAAACCTAGAAGTTCCTAACTTTTCAGTCAAATATAGAAAGTGAATTATCCCTTTTGACTTTGGATAGTCGATTCTAGAAGCAACTAGCAAACTCGGTCAAACGTCGCGTCGATCTGTATACTGCTTTTGTTACCTGTTTAAACAGGCATAAACGTCTCTTGTATTATTCCAAAAAATTATAAATATTTGGATATGAGCGTGCGGCTGTGTAACATTAAAGATGTTTGTGTAGACAACAAAACCGTCCTTCGCAAGTTAGATTATTATGGCATTTGAGCCATCGCCTACGAACTCATTGCCTCTACCTTAGTAATAGAATTCAAAAAGTAATTTATAAATTATGCTCATTCTGCAATGTCCCCCCATGAAAATGGGTTTACCGCAGGGAACAATATTGGGCCCATTATTATTTTTAGTATATGTTTGCAGACGATAGATGATACAGCGCTCATTTTTAAGGTTGACCGAAGTGTATCAAATTATGACGACGTGAATAGTGCACTTTTGCATGTCCTCGACTAGTTTATCATTAATAATATGGTATTAAATACCAAAAAAACTAAACGTCTTCTATTTACCGTTCCCAGTGTAATAGAGCAAAGTTTTAGTTTAATATTAAATAACATATCCTAACGTATAATAAGAGTAGACTCAAACTTCCAGTGGAGACCCCATCTATCATCTCTTGCGAATAGGTTAAGCTCCGCTGTTTTTGCGATTAAGAAGGTTAGGCATCTACTAAACTAACTATGCCATTGTTTCATCTACAAAAAGCAAAGTGTGCGCATGTATAATAAAATATCAGAGTCGATATTACGTCTGTCAATTTAAACGCATAATCAAAAGTAAACTTATGGTTAAAGCATATTATAATATGCTATAGCCATAAGTTACTTTGAAATTTCATGGTATATACTGCATGTAGAGAGCATAATATTGAAAAGGGAGAAAACTTTATACAGACGTCAATTTGATCTTTCATTCAATAACAACCCCACAAGTCCAAATGTTTCCTAATCTGCTGAACGTAGTCATGTTACTGGAATTGGAATAAGTACAGATACATCGGCTTCGATCTTCGGATCTCCAATGTACTGTAGCTCATCTCTAAACCTGTATCGAACGCTGAACTCGTAGGCTAGTCAGAACCTACGAGCTTGAAACGGTATTCCACGTTGCGAAGAGCTGCGCAAGTGCTCATGCGTGCGTGATCCTGCACGGGAGATGTACTCGTATCACACACGGGCCGTTGAGGTTAGTTACGAACCGATACGCGATGCCGCTCTAGAACGCGAGTGGACGTACCTTGTTGCATTGTGTTATTTTTGGCGTCGTCGCGAAATTAATGAAATATTGTCAAACCCAGTAGGGTATTTCACTTAGTTTTTTTCCCTTTTCGAGTAAGAACAATAAATAGGAACATTCTTATAAATTGTACCCACAAGAGACCTTGTTCCAATTACGACATTTTACAGCATTCATGCTCTACCTTGGTAACGAGGTACTTGGTAACTTGGTAATTTTATTTGATGATAGCTGAACTTCGCTTTAATTATTTTTTGCCTCACCAAAACATAATAAAAATTTTATAAAAATTGTATCTAAGTCTGTCTGCTGAGTCGCCATCATAATTATTCAAAGTAATAAAATCAATAAATATCGCAAAAAAGGTAGAATAACAAGGTTTTATTATAATTCAAGTTAGCGTTTGTTTTTATAAAACATTAATACAAAGAGTATTTAAACTTATACCTTATAAGAAATACATGCGAAGCGTTGTCGGTGTGGAAATCAGCCGTTTAGCTCAGTGGTTCGATTCACGAAGCGTCGAGAATCTATTTGTCGATTTTTTCTACAGATTTTAATTTGATCCCCTTCTTATTTTATGTTCCACACGATGATCTTGGCTAACTCGTAAGCATTCTGAACTGGCGTACCATAACATCCACATTTAGATTACTTATTAGTTTAAAATATACGTACTTACATTGATGCATTATCTGGATGAACTACGATGATGCTACGTTATTGTAGCATTTATAATTAACCGAAAACACAAAAAAGTGTGTTATATAAAACGGACGGATGTTTCATGTAAGTCGGTAGTGAGTCACGTGACCATGAAATACTAAATTTGATTGCTAAGACAGAAAATTGCTTTTACATGTATTTTAATCAAAAGGAAAATCGATAAATAATACAAGTGAATAAAGCCGAATGTCGCTGTTTATATTTTCAAGTCTCAAATGAGAGCAAATCTGCTGAAATACAATGAACACAGCCGCCTTTGAATTGCCGTAAATCATCTACGTGGGTGCCCAATACTTAAAAGAGGTGTATTACAAAATATGTTCTCATCCTCACTATACACACCTTTGGTTATATGTCATAATTTTAAGTATTGTAAATTTCACAGCCGAGCTGGCTCCGTACGAAAGAGTTTTGGGACAGGTCCTTTGAAGAACGCTACGAGAATATTCGAAATGATACTAGACGTCCCCGGTTGAAGGTATATCTTTATATTTACAGTTCATTCGGTTTCTACACAAATATATATTAAAATAGTAACCTAAGCTACGGAGTTTACTCCAACTTTATTCCATTCCACTTTTTTTAATTTTGCTTCGAATCGAGGTGTACTCCGAAAAGTTGTTAAGTAGGCTAGCATTGCAAGCGCATTGAAAAAACAAATGTATTTTACAGAAAAAGTAACAATAGCCAGATGAAATGGACGACTAAGGAACCTTTTTATGTTGTGCTACGAACGTGAGCTTCACAGCTATGAAATTACACAAGTTAAAAATGTACAATTGTAGTTCCCGATTTTTCATAGCATTTCGGTTCAAGCTGTAAAATTTAATCGATAGAGAAATATTAATAATGACATGATACATAAGTAAAAATCCATGAAAACCGGCTGATTACGAGAAAATAATTATATATTTTTTTTATTTTATACAATTGAAATCCGCCAATACTTTGCTTACAACATTCATTATAGGCTACTATTTCAAGTTTACATCTTTCTTTTTCACTTTGTTACAAGGCACAGATACACAGATACTTATATCACAAACAGATTTTTACTTCATGAACACGTATGTGTTAGTATACAATTTCTAATATTTAAGATTTTGTAATTTTTTACTAAAAGTAAGCGTTTTTCATGGGTTTTAACTTATATATTATTTCATCAGTGACATTTCTTTGCATGCGTGAAATTTTTTTAAAGCTTGAAAAACGGGAAGTTAAAGTGTAAAGATAGTTTTTAACTATTTCGATAAGTATTTGAATGACTCATAATTTTTATTTATCTGTTTAATGGGATGACTATTATGTCAAGTTTCTTAATAGGAGTCATAAAAATGTAATTAATGCAAGCAATGCGCAATTGAATAAATACAGCGTGTCGTTACCATCGCGACAATAAATGAACACACGTCTAACGCTACATGCCAATAATCATAAAAAAATATTAATAATTAAAAAATTTTTTACAAACAAACTAATTAAGTAAAAAATAAACATAATTTGTAACATCCTATACAACTCACGCCACAGCGTCGTATTACAAGCCTCTGCTTCTAACAGTATGTTTTGTCTCTTTTAAATTCATTCAACCCATTCATATGCTTTGTGACCTCTACAAATGAACTTTACGTTACGCTTTTTTAGGTGAGGGTGTTCTAAAATTCTTTGTTTTGAAAAATTTAATAACTCGGTAAATATTGATGTTTAAAGAATTTAAATGTTTAATAGAACTTAAAAAAGTAACCCCTATAATTGTGTTCATTTATTGTCGCGATGGTAACGACACGCTGTATATAAATCACTATTCTTTACGTACTTGTTAAATGTTAATATTATATTTCTTTTTTAGTACAAAACATTGCCCTTACTTTAGAATAACATTATCCTGTGTTGTAGGGACGTTTTACAAACATAAATTACACGCGGACAAACACCTAGATGCGAAACAACTTGTTGGTCACACAAATAGTTGTCCCGTGTGGGAATCGAACCCACGACCCCGACGCCGAAGCCAATACCTTGGCAACTGCGCCACGGAGTCATCATTTTTTTTGTATCATTGGCATTAATTACCTCACGCCCAAAATACGTTTTAGTCCGTCGTAATACTACTTTTAAAGACACCCAATGGACATATGATTTTCATAAGCCTAAGATTAATCATTAAATATTTCAGGTGATCGTAGTCCCACATTCGCACAATGATCCCGGTTGGTTGAAAACGTTCGAGCAATATTTTGAATGGAAAACAAAAAACATAATAAATAACATCGTTCTTAAATTGAACCAGCACCCTAATATGACGTTCATTTGGACTGAGATGTCGTTTCTTAACGCTTGGTGGGAGACTTCACACCCAGTTAAGCAGAAGGTATCGTGTCACCGTGAATTTGCAGGTTCAGCTCAGTATGTGAAGGATAATACTGATATTTCGAATCTTAGTTATTGTAAAATATAGAGTAAATTTTAAGTTTGTCTTTTAATGTTAATCTTTAATGACACTTTTGTTACAGGCTCTTAAGAAATTAATAAAGGAAGGACGGCTTGAAATCACAACTGGTGGATGGGTGATGCCTGATGAGGCATGTACTCATATCTATGCGTTGATCGATCAATTCATTGAAGGTAATGTCAAACATAATTATTTATTTACCGTCACCACCCATTCGGTTGGGTCAGTTAAACGTGTAAAACTGGTGTTCTTCCCTTTGATCAATATCAGTTTTAAATAGGCACCAGAAGCGATCGCTATTCCGGAGTTGGTGTATCTACTATGTAGCCAGTCAATTTACCTCTCTGATTACGTTCGAGATTGTTGGTTGAACAAACTTTATCTGACTATCGTTTTCGAGCTTATCTAACTTTGACGTAGAGTATTACGGAAAACAACACCATTGTAACAGACGGGTACTTGAGTTTAGTTCAGGAGTTATCAGCTGAGAACTTCAAAGTTGTTGGTTAAACTTTTATATAATTTATTAGAATTAATGCTAATGACAGCTTGCAATTAGTTATAAAAATATAATTTTTACCTAGTTTTTGCTGTTTTGTTGAAACACCTCGTCAGGGATGATTCTAGTCCAAGTTAAATATTCCTTCGCTGATCGCTTTTATATTTGACGAAGAGGTTAATTGACACACTATATGACATATATATATATGTGTGTGTGTGTGTATAACTTTGCGGCAGAGAATTGCTTTCATCATGTGTTTCTTATGTATACATCTTTTTAGGTCACCATTGGGTTAAGACTAATCTTGGTATTACTCCGAAAATCGGTTGGTCCATCGATCCGTTTGGGCATGGAGCGACGGTACCTTACATACTTGACAAGAGTGGTCTCGAAGGCACGATTATCCAACGCATCCACTACGCTTGGAAACAGTGGTTTGCTGAGCGGCAAATTGAGGAATTCTATTGGCTGCCCGGGTGGACCGCTAAGAAACCGTCGCTGATTGTTCACAACCAGCCTTTCGACATATATTCTATTAAAAGCACCTGCGGCCCCCATCCCTCTATTTGTCTGAGCTATGATTTTCGTAAAATCCCAGGCGAATATTCAGAGTACACGGCCAAGCACGAAGAGATTACCGAACAGAATCTTCACAGTAAATCCAAAACCCTTGTTGAGGAATACGAACGGATAGGATCGCTGACGGCACATAACGCCGTCTTGGTACCGCTCGGCGACGACTTCAGATACGAGTATGACTCGGAGTTTGACGCTCAGTACGTAAATTACATGAAAATGTTCGATTACATTAATAGCCACAAGGATCTGTTTAACGCTGACGTCCAATTTGGGACTCCGCTTGATTACTTTAATGTAATTAAGCAACGGCATGAAGGCAATATGCCCACTTTAAAGGGGGATTTCTTTGTCTATTCGGATATATTCAGTGAAGGAAAGCCTGCATATTGGTCAGGTTATTACACCACGAGACCCTACCTGAAGATCCTCGCCCGGCAGTTAGAACATCAATTGCGAACGGCCGAAATCATTTTCACCCTCGTTTCCAACTTCATAAATCAGTCTAGTGACCATAGGCTTATTTCTTCCGAAAAACGCCTGGAAAAATACTATGAACAGTTGATTATTGCTAGGAGAAACTTGGGACTTTTCCAGCACCATGACGCAATTACGGGAACGTCTAAAGCTAATGTCATGAACGATTACGGCACGAAACTTTTTACCAGCCTGTACCACTGTATCCGTCTTCAAGAATCCGCTCTAACAACAATAATGATAACGGACGAAAAGTTACACTCTCAAAGTATTTTGCAGAGTGAAGTTGAATGGGAGACATTCGGCGCTCCGGTAAAGAAACTTCATGTCTCCTTGGTTGATAGAAAAAAGGTGGTCTTGTTCAATCCTCTGGCAGAACGTCGAACCGAAGTAATAACCTTAAGATCGAATACAACTAACGTCAGAATTTATGACAGCAGGACAAGGAAGCACGTTCTGTACCAAATCTCTCCAACCATAGATACCCTCGAAGATGGTAAACGCGTCATCAGCAATACTAATTTCGAAATACAGTTTGTCGCAACTTTGCCCGCTCTGACCACGGTGACCTACAAGCTGGAGGAACACACGAATATATCACATTACAGTCTCGTATTTTGCAACAATTGTAATGAGAACCCGCCAACCAGTTTCGTCACGAAGAAAATGATGCCCGGCGACATTCAACTCGAGAACAATGTTTTGAAATTACTCATTAACAGGAACAGTGGATTTTTGAAGCAAGTGTATAGGAAAGACGTTAGGAAGAAGAATGTAGTTGAGATGCAATTTGGAGCTTACCAAAGTGCGCAGAGACATTCGGGGGCCTATCTCTTTATGCCGGATTACGACTCGCCGGAAAGGAACGTACTTAACCCGTATTCGAACTGGAACAGCTATCAAGATGACAACATAATTATTGTATCAGGACCGGTATCCACAAAAATCACTACTCTCTATGCACCGTTCTTAGTACACTCTGTTACCATTTATAATGTTGAGGACCCTGCACTTTTGCACGGCATTTTGATCGAGAACGTTGTTGATTTCGAAAGCCCACCTAAGAACAGAGAAACAGAGCTGTACATGCGCATCCAAACGAACATTCAAAACGGCGAACCGCCCGAATTTTACACAGATCAGAATGGCTTCCAATACCAGAAAAGAGTGAAAGTTGACAAGTTGGGTATCGAAGCCAATTATTATCCTATCACAACAATGGCTTGGATTCAAGACGAAGACACGAGATTGACACTGATAACAAACCACGCGCAGGGTGCGGCGGCATTTGAGCCCGGTAGACTTGAAGTGATGCTCGATCGACGAACACTCTATGACGACTTTCGAGGTATAGGTGAGGGTGTAGTGGATAATAAACCTACAACTTTCCAAAACTGGCTCCTCTTGGAACCCAGTACAACTGAAAAATCCAAAATACACACTAGCGAGGCCTTCCAACGCGTTCATGAGAGACGCTTTGGCCCAGGTGAAAAAACGACCGATTACCCTTTACCATCACAGACCGCAGACTATTTGAGCCGTTGCCTGAACTATCCGGTTAATATTTACCTTATCGATACCAGTGAGGTTGGCGATATAGAAGTTAAGAAGTATCAGACATTCGTGCAGAACTTCCCGCCCGGCATTCACCTTATTACAATGCGCACCATCACCGACGATATTCTGGAACAATTCCCCAGTACTTCGTGTTACATGGTACTGCAGAGACCGGCACACAGCTGTTCTGTAGGGACCCGTTCTTTAAAATCTACTTCGTTCACTGCTATGACAAGATTTATTGGACTACACATTAATAATCTCACTTCTGTTAGTTTAACCGGACCTTAAGACATACAAATCCCTTTCCGGTTTGAAGGACATCAAATTGGAACCGATAGAAGTTAAAACATACAATATCAAGTTTTGAAGACTGTTAGGCTTAGACCATTTCGCAGTTTAAATTTACGTACATATTTTGCTGATGTACACGATTATAAGCAGCATAAATATTGGCATATTTTGCTGATCTACACGATTTTAAACCCTATAAATATTAGCATGTGCTTCGACGCGTCTTTTAGATTCGAGTAAGTCTCATCGTTGCAAGAGACGTTTTTTTACGTCTACGTGAATTTAGTGTAAGTATGTTGATATAGGCATTTATTTGTTAAAACTCACCTCTCGCGTTTACACAGTCTTTTAAGAGTTTGATAAAAATGTTTTGATGTTAAAATAATGTATTGAGAACCACACTGCATAATATTAGCGTACATATAGAGTAAGTAGTAAAATCTACCTCACATCCAAATAATATATTTCCAAGTCAATGGGATTATGCAAAAATATATATGACATTTGTTGTTACAATCGCACTATTTGTATTGGAAAAGTTATTTATATACCTACATATCTCATTATGCCACTAGTCTCTCATTTTCAGATTATAAGTATAGCCAAATATTGTACATATGTAGTGATTCAATAGTTCTGAAGATTCACATATTTAATAAATGATATATTCAATATTTAATTATTTAAGATGTTGGCCGGCAGCATATAAATGTTGCGCAAAAATATTTTTTTGTATAAAAAATATTTCGCATTTTATCCATAAGCTTGTCTCATTTTATACATCTTTTACTTTCATGTCATTTACAAGTGTGTAATTGTATTTTAGTGTCGCTGTGATCTATGACAAATTGCATTTGAATACAATTTTGTAACTTACATGACAATTCTTTTTATAGGATTTATTTATATAATTATGAAAATTATTTGAATCAATGAGAAGCATCACAATAGTTAGTAAGGATATTAATAAATATGTACACATACACTACAATGAGTCTCGAGATAAGTTTCTATTGACTAAAACCATCATTGACCAACTTAATACGTTGTCGCGTTTTAAAGTATAGATTTATTTTTCATTTCATTAGTCTTTTAGTTGTCTGTTTTTTTGTTTTGATTTCAATAAATTTTAAGAATTAGGATGTATGGCGATATTGGTTTTTTAAATCGTCCCAAATCCATATATACATTTTAGTTCTCATGAAATAATTAAATGGTGATATTATGTTTAATCTTGTTTTGATGACCAAATTAACTTTAGTTATAAAATGTTTTTTAATTATTTATTTGTACATAAAAAGCTTGCAACTTGTGTATAATTAATTTAATCTCATTTAGATCAATATTTTATTACGGGAAATGTGTTTTATTTTTTTATTTGGTACAAGATCATATAATGTGTAGAAAAATGCTATCATTAATTATAGTATGTTTTTATAGAATTTTCACGTTTCATTTTAACAATTAAGTATTAATAAACCAATTTTAGACATCTTAATTTTCGTTTAGCAGAACAGTTTAGTTATCCTGGCCTCATTTTTCGTAGGTGAACTTTAATATTAAATGTGCATATTGCAATTCGCTGTTAGTATTTTTTTTAAATAACAATTTAATGTGTATTAACCATTTTAGAACTTGTGTGAATAAGATGTTAATCAATATTTTTGCCATTTAAAATCAATGTCTTTGTGTTTATAAAATGCTTTTGCCTGTTTAAAATAATTTAGGTCTATAATATTGTGTACAATTTTTGTTCAAGATGGTGTAGACAAAATAAAATCATAATATACATATAAATGTCTTTTATTACTACCATTATCCATTTAAAATGGAAGTCAATATTTATTAATTAGTGTTAATTCACATTGTAAATTATAAATTTAATAAAAATATTAGCCATTATATTAAAACAACAACATTTTTTATCCAGAACCTCATTTCTTCTTTATTCTGCTGGCAATCCATTCTAATCCAAGGTGCAATCTGTAATAAAAGAACAATTAGATAAGTATTAAAAAGGAAAAACACAATTAAACCAATAGGCTAAAATACAACTATTTCTCTTCATTAAATTTGAGTTTGTTATAAGTTTTTATTCTAAAAACTGATACCGTAGTTCACATTATATACTGTTTACATATTTTATATACAATGTCCATATTAATTCAAGTGCACACTGCTTCTATACATAATTAATCCCAGAGATAGCATATGTTGAATATTTTCTTTGGGCTCACTTGATTTGGCAAACTTAATTTCATTTGACATAATAATGAGATAGAAATTCAAGTTTGGAATATTTTATACTCAGTGTTCATTTTACCAAAAGAATAAGATAAAATAAAACTGTACAAAATATCTCAGTGTGTATTATTACAAAATTGTATATAATTGGTTTAAATAATTTAGACCAATACTTTATTCGGATTAAATTTCTAATTTAATTCACTACAAAATTATATTACACTTAGAAATAACATCTTTCATTTTAGTATTTCAAACATTGTTGGCATTTTTGTTACCATATTTAATTAATTTTGGTACATTATAATTTTCATTTAACAGTCGATTTTCGCTGGCCCTATTTGTTTGCAGCAAAATATAATATAGCTGGATTATATCTATATAACGATATATGGGTGTTGATAGCTTTTACATGTGTCTACACACATTAAAAACTCATAGGCAACATCAACTGGCATTTCAAGGCGACGGTTTTTTTTCTATTATTATACATTCACAATACAATTAGTATAAACGTAAGTCAAATATAGATTTCCTTAAAGAAGAAGTCAAAAAATCTAAAACAAGAGAAAGTAATTGGCAAAACCTTATTTTTTTATAAAATAACTGCATGAATTACGTTTTTAGGGTTCCGTACCCGATGATGGTATGCAACCCTTCGCGCTCGGTACTTGGCCGGCGTTTTTTATTAATAGAGTATGCTGTATGCACCGCAGTCATTTAGAAACATGGGTTATTCATCGATTTTGAGTTTATTTAGGATCTCATCTAGGGTCAATCGCTCACAATAAAAATTCAATTGGTCCTGCAGTTATTGTGTTTTGGATACACTGTTTTCCAAAACTTTCCACTGGAGCCACGCGTGCCTATGGGTTTCTAAGCCCGCAGCCTGTAAATTGCCATTTACGACAATGAGTTTAGCTCGACAGTATGATATGATTGGCGCTCAAACCATCATTGTTGACCTACCCACTGTAAGGATAAAATTGCTGAAAACATCTCAGTCGATCACAGTCTCCAGGGCGTCGATAGATATTTTTTCTTCTGGAATATGGTGAATAGAAAATGTGAAAATGAATCCAAATTAGGACTCATCATAAATACGATTTTGTACCATCGCTTTTGCGGCCAACTGTACAAGCTCACTGCACGGAAGGCTCACTTTAGCGTCGAGGACGATGACCATACTCGTGCACTGTTTCGTACAGTCAGGGCGATAACAAATACGCTAGTTGAGATTTGAAGCCTGAACACTTTATCGTACGCTCATCTTAGGTAGAAATCTTGCAGTGTTGAAACGATCTGGGCGATCAGTGGTGTTCTGCGGGGTTTAATGCTACAAAATATATACAGGCAATATAATATATATCCCAAGGCCTACATCTTCTCAAAATAGAGAATAATCAGGCGTAGTTAACCACGCGGTGTCCAAAACTGCGGTTTCGCGGACTTTATACATCTTCGAAATATTTATTTAAATCATTTAGTTTTCTCATATTCCTTCACGGCTGAGAACGTTATCACTCATCAGTCGGCGCTAAAATTGCCGGAGAACAATTTCATTGGTGCCGACGCCGGAGTTTTAACTCAAGTAGTTCGAAAAATTTATCTCAATACAAGTTTAATTTTTAGAGTTCCGTACCCAAAGGGTAAAACCCTAACACTGCCCCGTCTTTCTGTCCGTCAGTGTGTCACCTTATCAGGGTGTATCGCATGAACTGTGATAGTTAGATAGTTGAAACTTTCACACCGTATGAAAAGAAAATGATATATTTCTTTTGCGGCTACAAAAAACAAATAAAAAAAATTATTTGAGCGGGGCTCCCATACAATAGACATGATGTTTCTGCCGTTTTTATAGTTAATGCTACGGAATCCTTCGTGTGCGAATTCGGCTAGCACTTCGGTTTTCAAGGACCACACTGTTCCGGCAGCTTAAATACACTGATTAACAGATTCCGTGTTGTAAAGATATGAGAATAATTATGTAAATGCTTTTGACATCACTATAATTTTCACAATTTCTTTGATACATTATTATTGTTTCGTTAACCTAAGATTAGATAATTTGAATTAAACAAGAGCCGTAAATTAAATTATCATTCTTTATCATTTAACTGTTAGAAGTGTTTAATGTTTTTTGCTTTGCAATGATAGCAACATATGTGAATCGGGGAAAAAAAAGTTTTCAAGTAATGATAAAAGACAGACTTATTCAAATGGCTTCTGAAATTATTACCAAAAAGCCATAAGACAATAATAAGAGCCAACTGATAAAATAACAAAGCACCCAGATTCAATCACAAAAATTAATACATTTAAAATTTAAGGCAACTATTCAGTCTGAGCCACTGCGTTGTTAAGTGAAATTTATTAAATATTAATCTTCAGGCCCTGCCAACAATTACAGTTAAATAATATAAATGAACACACGTCTATCGCTACTTGCCAATAATCATAAAAAATATTAAAGTTAAAAAAATCCATAATTAAAAAAAATATTTTTCAAACAAACTAATTAAGAAACAAAATTTGTAACATCCTATACAACAACTGACTGATTCATACATTCAGAGACTTTTTCATTCGTTGCCACAACGTCGCATTACAAGCCTCTCCTTCTAACAGTATATTTTGTGTCTTTTAAATTCATTCAACCCATTCATATGCTTTGTGACCTTTACAAATGAACTTTACGTTACAATTGTATACGTAAGGGTGTTCTAAAATTCTTTGTTTTGGAAAATTTTATAACTCTGTAAATATTGATGTTTAAAGAAAGTAAATGTTTAATACAATTTAAAAAAGTTATCCTTTATATGTGTGTTCATTTATTGTCGCTATTGTAAAGACACGCTGTATAATACATTGCCAAAAAAGCAATTAGAGAGGCTAACTGTGTTACATGAATACTACTGTGACAAGTGTGGTAACAAATAGTTTTTGGAGATTTTAGATGCATCATCATCATCATCATTATTTAAGCCAGTTTAAGTTCACTGCTGAACATAGGCCTCCCCAGAGACTGCCACGTAAATGCATTTATGCACTGCACATCTCAGCACGCATTTCTCCGAGATATTACAGCTTGTTTTGTTTACCCATTTACATGCACACTTGAAATTATTCAAAAATAGTATATCACAAACCAGTTTTCTTGTCTTACTTAAAAGTCAAATAGGAACATAGAAGTGTACATTATTATTACAGTTGTTTCAGAAAGTCAATAGTCAGTGACAAAAACAATTAATATCATAATTCATAATTGACATACTGTTACACAGTGAAAAACCAAATGACTAAGTAAACAGTAACCCCAGATAAACTCCTTAATCATATAAAGATAAATAAGATTATTGGTTTGTGGCTACATTTCATGGTCATGTACTTTTTAGGGAAAATTACTTGACTAACCAATAAAATATTTTTGTCAATTTTTTTGAACACATAAATATCATAACTGAAGAAAGACTGACAAAGACATTATGATGTGATTGACAAAGGAAGTGAATACAGGGCGCCTAAGCCAGGGGTTAACAAAGATTTTCTTAGGAATGCCAATTGCCTGAGCAAAATGGGGTGTTTGTAAGCAGTAAAAATTGACATAAAGTTTTATTATAGGAATATTAATCAGTAATTTAGATAGTATGATCATAATTCTTTGCGAAAGTTTGTGGATACATAAACAATTTTCCATAAATTTTTTGGTTGGCTAATAAAACGTAATTATTTAAAAACAGTGATTTAATAACAAAGTTTTCAGTTTAGTAGAATCCAGATATAACGGCTCACCATTTTTAACGACTAAATACCAAACTTAAGTACGATTTCATAGAGACTATAAAAAATATCCATATAGCATGATTTCAGTTTAAGCGACCATCTGCTTACGACCTAACTTGGATTAGGAGACATCATAATTTCCATTACAACACCAATATAATAGAAAATTATGATGTCTCGTATTCACAATAATGTACGAAGTTCTTATTACCGAAGAAAAATTGGACACAATCTGAAATTACAGACTCTACATCTGTGAAAGTAAAAAGTAAATGTCAATTATGTATGCATCTTAAGCGCAATTATTAAATAAGTACCATTAAAGTAATTTATTGATAGTTTTTAATGTTTCACTTAAATAGAAATAAATCTATGTAACTGCATTATGTACATGGTAAATAAATTAAAAACACGCTTAAAATATCCATTAATTTTTTGCGTCGTCCGGTAAGAATTTGTTTTCGTAACATAGTTTCACATATAGTTTGGGGCGGTTTATGCTCTGTATTGGTCGTAATTATTCTTAAGAAACACCAGGTATTCAGATTATATATAATGTGACAGGGTCTACCGGTAATTTCAAGCAAAGGGCATTCATTCTATAATGATAAAAATAAACGATATTAAAATTTTTATATGCCGACTGACATACTGCATTATTTTTTACTGTTATTATTTTTTTTTTTACTTAAACTGAACAATCATTCACTTTACTATATTTAGTCATTTATTTTGCTATTTTACTAAAATAAAAACTATTCCTACCATACATATCAAGCATGTTAGAGGATACATTAATTTGAATGGAGGATTAAACAGTCTTAATGGCCAAAGAATATATAAGGAAATGAACAAAGCGAGGCAAACGAAGATAGAAATTATGTATATCTGGTAACATAAAAAAAAATGTTAAGGTATTCAAACCTTCGCAAAGAATTATATTCAAACTATCAAAATTACTGATAAATATTCCTATAATAAAACTTTTTGTCAATTTTAATCTGTTGTAGTCCAACTGGGCAACTGTGAACAAGCAACTTTTGTCAAATAAACACATTTCAGAATAAGAGAGGATAAAACACCAGAGGTGTGACCTTTGGCATGATGTACTATGTAAGATCGAGATTTAATTTTTACTTGATAGCTTAATAATTAATCCATTGCAGTAAACTGATGGTGACCGATTTTTGATATTATGATCACATAAGTAACAGACATAGTAGTAATTGTCGCCTCTCTACAAGAAACAACTATACATGGTGCAACCGGGTGCCCCTACAGCAGTATAACTGTTGCAATAGGGAGCTTGTTCAGGGAAGTATAGAGTATTTCACAAGTATGTAAGTGAGGAAATGTGAGAGACATACGTAAGACCCATCCCATAGGAGACTTAAATGGTTTCCCCTGATAGTAAATGCCTTTAGAACCTACCCTTCTCCAGTAAGAGCACAACAAGCTTGTATGTGCCATGGATGTTGTTTGATTGATGTCAAATCTAGTTGTTCTGATATTTCTGCAGCCGTCATTGATCCTTTCACATCCTGAAAGAAACAAAAAATAATTATTGGTAATTGATATTTTTTGTGTGGTTATAGATAACGAAACTTTTGAATATATATATATTATGTACACTTCAAATCCAATCATGCGACGCATGCAGTGTGAACTCTCTAAAACAAATTGTAATTGTTTGTCTTGTTTGATTAAAACAATACTCATTGGTTTAAAACATTATTTTCACATTTCACATTTGATTAAATTTTGATTTTTATTAAATTTTAACTACCTTTTGATTCACAGTAGTAGTGTAGTTTGATACACCCTTAGACAATAACTCATTTCATTGAAATTAATAATTGGCTTTACAAAAAACCTAAGTCATTAAATAACAAACAATGTACCTATATGGATTATGACCGTATTATAATTTTTCTCTTTTCATGAAAACACAAAATGTATTTGTATTACTCAGACGATTTTAATTTTCAAATTTCTATTTGCATGAAAGATAACACTTTATCTCCATATTCATTTTATAGAGTTCATACTGTTGTATATATAATATATTTAATATTGGCCATATCTTTCAAAATCATATGCAGTCTCATCGGCGCCACCATCACATGTAATTTTTTATTTGTAACTAGTCGGCGCTTAACTGTCATCCCACCTGATGATGTGGTGATGCAGCCGTTGATGATAAGCAAGAATAAATGATGCCTTAACTCTTTAAAATGTAGCAGTGAAGCATTATATGTATTGACAAATATTAAAAGTTGAATGATAGTTGTTTTTAATACATATTTTTTGTTTCTGGAAAAAAGGAGGCAACCGAACAAGCGGGCCGCCTGATGGTAAGCGATCACCGCCGCCCATAGACACTTGCAACATCAGTTGAGTCACAATTGTGATGCTGGTCTTTAAAGTTGGAGTAGGCTTGGTATATTATTAAAGTAGGCATAGGCTATATTTTTAATACCCTAAAATATCTAGCATTAGACGATAAGTGACTAAGTGGATCACAAAAAATTACTGATATACACTCTTAAGATCAAAATCCCCTTCAGTATGTTAGGAACGAGTAGGGAATACATGGAGAGTGAAATCAAACAAAACACAAATATAACATATCTTATACAGGTAGGCATTTCTAAGTATCCATATTTCTAGTGTCCATATTTTTTATTAAATTCTAGATAAATAATGTTATATAAAAATGATAAATATTTAAAATCACTTGTAATTAATTAATCACATTCATCATCATCATCATCATATCAGCCGTAGGACGTCCATTCCTTCCAATCACATTCATTTGAACTTATCTCAAAAAGTGTGTGATTTATGGGCAAGTCGTTTATTTTACGCGCCATCATTCATAACAAACAAAGACATAAGTTTGTTTCAAAAGTATATATAAAGTCGTATTTATGAATGAATGAAGCGGATTTTTTGAAAAAAAAAAAAAAAAAAAAGGTTTGTTTTTAGTTCAATAAACAATTATACTAGTGAGTCTAAACGTCCTGTGTGAATTTGGACACCTTTAAAAAAGCCACCCTGTTTATAATAGAAATGGTAACATTTTTGCTATTATGAAAACATAAAGATTGAAAAATAGAAAATTTATTTATTCGCTTCAGAGCAAAGTCACTATTTTGTGTGCACATATAATATTATAATACATTTTTATTTAAAAAAAAGTACATAATTTTTGTTACCTGCTTGTTTGCAAAAACCAATAAGCAAGCTTTACTCAGCTCTTCATGTGACAGCATTTGGTGTAACTCGGCTCTGCTAATGCTCAATCTTTGTCGATCCGTTGAATCAATTACCATGATCACAAACTGATGAAAAAAAAATATGAAGATATCATTTTTGTAAAAAATTTGTAATTACAAATAAACTAAAAAAGTATAATGATAACAGAATTACTATCAACCAAGTAGCCTTTAAGATTAATGAAGGTTTCTAAAGGCAATATTAATGAAATGATAAGGAAATATTCAAGGTCTTTATGTAAATACAGCACAATATTATTTCCTATGAACTAAATAACAATATACAATCGCAATGGCATTTTAAAGTCATAAATTAAATTCTCATAATTTTTAAAGAATTATTACAAAACATGAAATAATAGCTTTGATAGGTTTTTTCCATTTGTTTTTAATAGAATAAATGGTTAAAATTTTTATCAAGAAGAATAAATATGTGTATTAGAAACAATAAATCAGATGTTTCATGGATAATGTTCAACAAGAACACTATAGATTAGCTTTTACAAATCCAGGCATTCATGTCATTTGTAAAATATACATCCTATGTAAAATACATATTTTTTTGACAACATAATTGCATAGCATATCGACATCAAACCACAAAGTTGCAAAGCAAATATTATGATGGTTTAACATACAGAAAATGTCGCATCATAATATAAGTATTAACTTACTTCACTGTTTGTATAATAAGTGTTCCAAGCAGAGCGCAGGCTTTGCTGCCCTCCGAGGTCCCACATGACAAAGCGGAGATTCCTCCATACTACCTCTTCAACATTTGAACCAATGGTTGGTCTTGTATGGACGGCCTCACCAAGCAGCAATTGATAAAGGATTGTAGTCTTGCCAGCATTGTCTAAACCCACCAGAACTAACTTATGCTCTGTAAATTTGCAGTGAGTTTTTTTAAACAGAAAATAAGTGAAAAACAAACAACTGGTAGATCCAATGGTAAGGGACAATCTTCAACCTTGAGTATCTCTGGAGAAGTAAGTGTTCAAATACCACCTTATATAAAGGAAGGTCATAAGTTACCTTTCTGCCAAATAACTTTAAAAGTATTAATTTCCCGGTCACTTCCATAAGTCATTCATTGACCCAGCAAGAGTGCTGAGCAGTACTATAACAACATAGTCTTTTTTTAAGATGTTAATAAAGTACTTCTAAAATATTGCAATAAGTATTTAGACAAGGAAATTACTATTTTGGGTTAAAAAAAAACACCATATAGATGTTTTGATGTTTATAATATTATATCTGTGAATGTGTATACAAACTCAATAAGTTACATTTAATAAATATGCTGTATTCATTTTAAACTGATCACATAAATACAGCAATTCTCTAAATTTCAATACAGCATTATAAGTCGTTTCCAAAAAAAGATACTGTAATTATATATAAAAATATTACAGTCTTACATATTGACAGTTTTTAAACAGGTCACTTACCCTCATTTCCAAACAAACTCCAAATTTTCGAAATTAATAATCCCATTTTGTTCAATATTGTTAAGGTCCTTAAATTCTAAATAAATGAATAGGAGATAAGATCGTGTTACTTCATTTATTCATGAACATTTCCGATAACTTAGCAGGATAAATTTAAAACAACACTTATACGCAATCGCATTCCTACAGCTGCGGATAGAATAACTTTACATATTATGAAATAAAGTTTAGTGTACATTTAAGATAGAAAAATATCTTATGCTTCCTTCTATAATTTTATTTCAATTATTGCAAGTTATAAGCGAGTATAATCTAGCATATGTTGAAGATAAAGGAAAAGCAAATATTTCGACATAAATTCAACTAAATCACATGATTTCACTCCTTATTAAACACTTGTATGATTCTTACATTTATATTTTATACAATTTAGTCAAACTATTAACAACAACTAAATTATTTATATTTCCGCATTTGTAATGCAACGTGACAATGTCACTTGATGGTTGATGGTGTGTATTTTAGAAATAAATAAAGACTCCGTAACGTAGTCCGTAACCAGGGCTGAATTTAGGTATGATGAAAAAGATAGTACAAAAGTTGAAAAGGATAGTATTTGTAAAAAAAATATAGTACACTTTATAATTTTGATTTTTAACGGGCAATAATTTATCCATAGAGGTCGCGGTTTGGACCGAAACCCCGGTGGCCGTCGACTGTGCAATTAGCTAATCGGTGGCTGGGAGCGGTGAGGACCGCCCCAGAACGCGGGTGTACCTTGTGCACGCGTTGTGTTGGTCTCGCCGTGCTCGGAGACGAGGGCGAACTAGTGTGTTTGTTGTTGCACTAACTGTGGGTGTAGTGTTATCCGGCGGGACCCCCTGCGGTGGGTCCGACGTATCTAAGTCTCCTTCCTCGACCAAGTCGATGAGGACGTTTCGCGGGCGACGCTTGTTGACGTTCGCGTTTGTGTCGGGTTGGTAATTTGCTGCGTTTACCACCAGAGGGTTGGGATGATTTTCGGCTCTATCGAAGAACCATTTGGTCAGGTCTTTAAAATATTCGCGAATCGTTACGTTGATACCACTGCACACCGGTTGCGCGGCGGATGAACTTATTTTGTACTATTTTCAGCTAGTACAAGCGGGTAGGGTGCGTGTGGGCGAAGGTCATTCATGCGTAGGACATAATAGATCGTATGCAGGTCTTATATAATCATAATTTGAGCCTTAAGGGCATTTTACTTTTAGCGTTAGTTAAATTGTGTACGAACATGATTCTATTACGAACGTTATTAATGTGCGTAGTATATGACATACGGGAGTCGAAAGTGACTCCTAAGTATTTGACCTTTTTCTCCCAGGGGAGCGGTTGTCCATAAAGGGATATTTGCCCCAACTTTCTGCATTGGCGAGGGTCTTTATAAAGATGTGACGGGTAAGGACTTCGTGTGAAGTGAATCGTCACACTCTTTTTGGGATTTACTTCTATTCTTTAGATATATCGCTTGTGTAGAGCGTAAAAAGTAAAGGTGAGAGGCAGGAAACCTTGTAGTACGCCGGCCGTGAGGCGGCGGCTTGTGGAGAGAAAAATTAATCGTACTATTAGACATCATCTCTATTAAATACCTCATAGTGCAATATGCAAAGTTACTCTTCGACAAGCTAAGTATAGAAAATAAAATTTACGATAAACCCCCGTAAATAGTTCCTTGATAAAGATTATTTATAATCCGTGGTAATAATTGATTAAGACAAGTAGTAATATTCGCTTTGTATTGTTTAAAACATCATTAAATAAAACATTAAAATAATAAAACAATAAAACATTATTAAAACCCAATAAACCTTTTTTAATGTTTGATTGGCATATATATTGACCATTTATGTAAATTAAGGAAATTATAGTACATTTCCGTATATCCTTAGGTATGGATGGTATATAGTACGAAACGTGAAATTATAGTACAAAATCTACCCTGTCCGTATCTTGACATTGACTTGCCCGACATTGTTTATGATTTATCTATGGTATAAATGAGAAAATATCATTGGCAATGGCACCCAAAGAGTAAAGTTACGATGGCACCACAACTATTTGTCTAAGGGTTGTCATATATTATCATACATATATTATCATATATATATATATCTATACATACAGTTAAAATGTAACCGATCGTTGTCTGTACATGGAAGATGTTTGAGAAAATCTATTATTGGGGGCCTTTATTAACGCAATAGAACCCAAAACAATGATTATTAAAATTTTTGCCAGTTTGCCTGTACGTTTGTACGCGCTAATCTCAGAAACGGCTTAACCGAATTAGGTGCAACTTTCAGTAATGCACTGTTATATAGCCTATTTATTTAACGAAGGCTATAGACTACTTTTTAAGGACGCATTTTCCCTGTTGCAAAAATTCTCTGTATCAATGATACGGGACCTCCGAGTCTTCTATTTAAAAAGAACTTCTTTCAAAGAGAAAGGTGAAATAAATTACAATTTACATGTACAATCCCCACGATTCAAAATGAAATTGTTAATTTGCTTTATTATCGCAGTTAGACAAAAATATTGTCTTATAAATTAAAAAAGCTGAATTTGTGACGACTATTTCGGATACAGTATAGACCTGTCGAAACTGTATCTTTTTTTATGTGAAAAGAGTCCAAGCGAGCAGGCGGTTCACCTGATTTTTAAGTGAACATCAGTTTCAGCCGAGGGTTGCAGATGTGTTGACAACCTTTTGAAAATTGGGTTTTTATACTTCCACTTTACGCCGGTTTTGTGAGGTCTTGGTACTTACCCGGACGGCAGGCTCGTCCATTCGTGCATCAGCTAAGGCTGTTGTATCGCCCTACCACACTAGAAATGTCTTATTGGATAATTTGGAAAAATGTATAGTTTTTTAGCAATAATACTAAAACGTTGGTCAAAATTGAGTAACGATTTATCTGAAAAATATAAAATTAGGTACTTCTTAACCTTGAAAAAGTTTGTCTTGATAGAAGATGTCCGAAAAACGAACGCTTTAAGGAAAAATTATTCATTAATAATGAAATTTTGGTAGCAACTAAATTAATTTTCACAAAAAAAAACTAACGTAACGATTGTGAAAATATAATTAACATGCAGAGAATTTATTTATAATGTTTGTCGTCTTTTTTTCTTCACTATTAGAAACAGACTTATAGAAAGTTAATATTTTACTAAGTATTCTTTTCACGAAATAATAAAAAGTTGTAGAAAAACATAACTGTGTCCTGTGTTATAAACAGTCACGACATGTGACTTGATCTATATGAACAATTGCTTAGAAAACATGTTTAAAACCTGAACAGCTGTAATATCATTCCATTATGGAACTTTTGAAATTATTTCGGACAAAATTCAAAAGCCTTGCATCGTTTTCCTGAGGTAATAACAGTATGGTTCTATTTTTAAACCTTTCTGGTTACAACTGCAACGGATGAAAATTCGTTTTTCGTAATTAATACTGATATTTATTGCGAATAACTAATTAATACATATAACGGATAATATCCATCGGATATCAGATAGGTCACTATTTATTAGCTGCGAAGTATCTAGAAAAAGTGAAATCGTGTTCGATATGGATGATTTAATAAGTAAATTTTCCGAAAAAAAGGGGAGAAAAGTGTATATTAATTACAAGCGATGTTTTTGTTTCTTTTCTGAAAAATCGATACGATACGATTTTGATTTGAGGGCCCGTCTAAGGCAATCTACGCCACTGCTGCTAATCTTTATAATGTCTACTTTTTATAGTTTTAGTTCCAGAAATTAAAACTACCTATTTCTTTATTTTTACTTTTCATTTTTCTGTAGATCGATTTTTATTTTCCTCATTCATCTCTGTATTCTGTGTAATCTATTTAAGTCCAATTTCAATTACAAGATTTTAACTAAACAAACATAAACGCTTATACATATAAATGTGAAGTGAATAAAATGCTTGATTAATTAGATCAATTCTTTAAACTAGGGGCCTCATTCAGCTTTACCGCCCCGGGCCTCTGAAGGCCTTAGTCCGCCACTGCGTAAATGCATGCGGAGCGCCGGCGAAAAGCTAGTGTGTTTATATTTTTAAACTCTAATTAAATTTCTATTTTGTATAAATGTTTTTTACAGATTCTGAATGAAAAACTATTCATCCAGTTAATTCAAACATGATTATTTGAAAAATTTAGGCCAATCCTAGATATATGTTCAAATATTTGTGAAGATTCTCAATGCTGTGTGTGGGAGGATATTTTCAAAATATTTGTACAAATATTTTTTATTGTATTTGTTACTTCATATTTTCCATAGCGGGACGGTTTTTCAACGCACATCAAAGCGAGAGTAAATATTTGTAGATGCTCCTATACATGTTGAAATGTCCGTTGAACTTGCTAATTGAATGTAAGGTGCAACCGTCGAGGAGTGCATTAAATATCGCAACTAGAAACGAAGGCAAAACACTTCCTCCTTAGCCTCTGCATGCGGTTTTGACATCTCTTTGGAGGTGGCCTGGCACGTCTTGCGTTTTTTTACTACGGTCTCGAGTAATTCTATCCTATCGGAAATATTTTCTTAGTGCTGGGAACTCGTGGATTTGGAGTTCGAATCCCAGCACTAACCTAATTTTTTTTCTGTCGGTAAAGACCGTTGTGCCCATGCTGCCTAATACTAACTTGACCGGGCGATGTTTTTAGTTAAATTCAGCAATAACTTCCAAGGAATATACCCGTAAAGATTCTTTAGAATGGATATATCTTAAATTTCGGGATTGTAATTCAAGTACGGAGCCACCCTGGTAGGACCCCTGGGACTGTGGCTCCGAGGGGCCCAGGATGTCCAACACTAACAAATAAATTACATTAAATAATTAAAAGAACATAAATAATATAATGCTTCTACCCAGTCGTCCATTGTACCCGCCTTCTTGGCACATACTATCCACAAATATAAAACAACAGAGAAACAAGTGTTTCAGGAGCTCAATATTTTGCTCCAACGTTTAACTAATATTTCCGAAAA